AAATGAAGCACTGAGATATGGGTTTTTTTGCACAAGGGCTCATCTGAGAGATAATGGCTTCTTTAACTTCTGAACGTACGACCATTACAGGACTTAATCAATCTAGTAATAAGAGTGCTGGATCCAACATGGAATCACAGAAAAGTTGGGACTGGAAAGTGACCTCGGGAGGTCCTTAGTCCAATTCCCTACTAAAGAAAGGTTTATTTTTGTCTAAACCATCCTCAGCAAATATTTGCCTCATCTGCTTTTGGAAGCTTCCAAAGATGGTCACACCTTGAAGCACTTTCAATACTTCTTGAAACTTTAAAAGAAACAAATTCCCTTCCCCCTGACCCAAACCAAAAAAATCTATTATGGGAGTGCTAATCCAGTCTGAATTGATGGATTTTTATCTGTCAAACACAAGAATGATCTGACAGCAATAAGCAGTCTACTGAAGAAATGTATCACACTTTTGTATTTTTTTTCCCCCAAATGAAGACAGGAATTTATCATGCTGTCCAAGACTTATAACAGTTTTGCAAATTGGGACTTCTTAAGTACTACTGATAGGAAAGGCCAAAATTCTTTGCAAGCATAAGCTGTCAAGAATTTTTTTTAATGTGTTCAAATTTCCTTCCATCTCTGACCACTCATTGCCTTGTTGAAGTGACGTATGAAGAAAGCATTAAATATACATTCAGATTTTGTTATACAGCTAGTGGAACAATAGCTGTCAGGCCAACAACAGAGTGACCTACTGCTTGCACACTTTTGTCTCTCTCTCAGGTCACACTCTGAAACCCAACTGAGTCCCTTACCAAAAAGGCAGACTATATAATAGGTCCCACACATCCTCTTGGGAACAAGGGTAAGTCTGAAGTAAGCCTGAACTAAACAAACTCATATGTAATCCTGATATCCCTGTATGCCCATTCACCAGTTCCAGCCTGTAGAATAAGATTGAGGGTGCCACTTAGATGCTGATCCAGAAGAGATCCACATGATTATGACTACAGAAGCCACCACTAGCAACAATGTTTAAATCAATCCTGACCAAAAACCATTGTATTATTTTGTACCCGTTTTAATTCATTCAACTATTATACACATGACCCTATAAAGCAGGGACCTGTGCAGCAAGGTCTCTGTAGCTTCTGTACCATTTTGTGTTGCAACTAGAAACCTGAGTATTTTCAACCCAATCTTGTTACTGAGTTAAATATGAAAATGAACAATTGGTACTATGCTCACTGTACTATTTTGTTCTTAACTTTATTAAATATTTATTTGCAGTACAATATCTTTCAATTTGATGTATATTTCTGTGTTGTCCACAAGCACCTTTGATGGCTGCTGTAAGAGAAAGAGAATGTCTAAGTTCTGATATATGAAAGGGGTAAGGTGGGGAACATATGAAAAAAGGAAGCCAGCTTGGATGCTAGAGACATGACATCTAGAACTCAGGAAGAAAAGCATCTCTTTACCATCTGTTGGTGGCTACTTGTGTCTTAACTTGAATTTAAGGAGAGACTGGAAAGAACTTGAATAACACCGCTCATCCCAGTGTAATTTAGGGACAGTTATCCCATTCTTTACCAGTGCAACCAACAATGATGTAAATACACATTAGGTAGCCGATTCTCCAAAGAATGATCACTGAATTAGTTAATAATGGCATTTTAGTTACCACAGTTAGTCTTTAGAGGTTTTTTTTTCCTCCAGGGTATCAGTTAGACAGCACATGTTTTCATGAAGTCCTTATTTTGAAGATTTCTTTTTACAATGTAAAAGCTTATAGATGTTTTGTAAGATAAGTTCTGAAGCTCCATCTGGCAACATGGCATGTCCTGGGAAGTAATTCTTGTGGTAGTGGAAATGTATAATATTAGTATCTTTATTCTGTTTTGTTTCCCTACTACAAAAACAACATGTAGCTTGTATGTGCTATTCAAGTTGCCAATATGTGTAATATCCAAAGAATGGGCATATTAAGAATATTACACATCATGACTAACAAGCTCAAAGTGAAACTAAGGCTTAAGACATCTAGGGAAATACACCTTTCAAATTAAACATTCCATTGCTTTCAACTCTCCATGGTCTAGGAGTTCACATTCAATTATTTACCCAAAACCCAGTTATTCTTTATGTTCTTGCTATTTCCTTTTCCATAATTTTTTTTAAATCTATGCACAAACTATATTTGTGCAAAAGCCTGTTAAACTTGATTTCCATGTTGTACATAATTCAATTTCAGAAACTATTTCAGCAGTTTAATCTATTCTTAATGATACTGTATTTACAAGCTTGCTGCCTTTAAATCCCTTGCATGCATTTTAAATGAGTTTGTTTACTTCCTTAATTTATAGGAGCGTTAATCATTAGATGGGATTTGTTTAGACAAACTGTGCTTAAGAACACCACCACATTTCAAGCATATGAATAGTATTTAAACACCACAAGCTACCCTGTGTTATATTTAATGGGAGGTTAGATACATTATCTATTCTGATAGGATCAGAATTGGTACTTCAGCATCCTCAAGAATGATCAACAAGAGAAAGTTATTTGCAATACAATGCAAAAAAAAAGTAACAAATTCCCCAATTGTTTTGAAAGACTGAAATAATATTGAAGTAATGTACTATTTTAAAACACAGATGTTAGGGTCATGACGGTGGCTCAAAAAAAGCGAATGGCTAGTTGTTTTTCAGGATGATTTCACAAGCTCCTCACCTAGCCTAATTTAATGTTTTTTTCCCCACTTCTAATTATGCTGAAACATCAGTTAAGAGCCTACCTGATGTTTTGGAGAATTTGCTGTGCTGGGATTGATATTCCGCAATGCCTAAGAGTAAAAAATAAGATGGATACAAATTACTTTAAAGCTGCATGGTTCAGATGTGCAGGCTGACTTACAAACACCATCCTGTAGTATCAAGTCCCCAAGACAGCCCAAGATGAGATAGGATAAGAGAGTTAAGAGCCGATGAAAATCACCGCACAATGAAACAAAAAACTGAGTACATGAATGACGTAGAAGCTTAAACGCCCAGGGGAAAAATATGAAGGAAACTGGTGGTCACTCCATCCAAAGTTAGTAAGATTTCTCCAAGAGAACTGAGGGAAGAAGGAAATTAGAAGTCCTACCTAAGAGCATGCTAGCAAAGGTAGACATTTGTTGGAGGATTAATAGCAAAGCAGGAACAACAGAAGCCCAGGTGCTGAAGCAGAGAGAGACCAGATGCTATCTTAAAAACATGTTTTTATCTGAAGTATTTGAAATGAAATGAAAAGAAAAGAAAAAAGCACTGGACTCTATAAGGATCTCCGATCTTGTATCCAGAGACGATAAAGATATCTACAGTCTGGCCCTGAGTACAAAAGATCATGGGAGTTAGATTCCAGGACAAGGACAGTCTACTACAGGTGATGAAGAAAAAAATAAGTTATCTCTGAGGACATGAAGATGTTATCTTCTGGTATAAAGCCCATCACCCAAAATGAGAAGTGAACAGGATAAGATTAAGGTTCTTTCTTGTCAAAGAAGAGATTAGTGCTTCACCCAAGTCAAAAAACTTCCACATATTCTAAACTTAGAATACCTAAATATCTAGGACAAAAGAACAGCCAACTTCCTACCAAAGATATTGAAATGAATAGAACTTTTGTTTATTGGAACAAAATATCACAGTCTCCAGAGTAACTTGGTTGCAAAAACTAAACCAAAATTTGTTATCTATAAATCAAATCCGGGTAAAAGGTTACATTAAAAGCTAGTTTAAAAAAAAACAGAGTAAAAGGGAATATAATATTCAACAAGTTTGGTTGGCTTTAAGTTAATGCTATTGGAATTACTTCCTTGTCATGACAACGTAAGACCTTTCTAATGTAAATGGTTTTTTTTCATTTTCCTCATATAAAAAGCTGCTTCTAGCACAACATATAATTAGTATAATAATGTGTTCCCCTCTGTTACTAAATGGTAGATATATGTATTTGTTATGTCCCTACCCAACATTAGATATAGGTTTAACAAAACTGCGTTACATTAAGTTTTCTTTTTCCTCTATTCCTGCTAATACTGCCATTACTCTTTGAAAAGACTGTTCTGTTAACTAAATAATAGCAAAAATTTCTGTAATATTTTCCATCTTCAAAGTCATTCTGATCAAATGAAACTTCAAAATATCCTATGAGAAAGGCAGTGATTGCCATTTTATGGATGGAAAAAATAGAAGCAAGAGTTTTAAATAATTTAATCAAAGTTCACAAATGAAAAAAGTTGGAATCTGAAATCCAAAGTTCCCAATTCCTAAAGAGATACCCTAGTAAATAAACCCTCAATGCTCATTTTCTGGTACTAGAAAAAGTTCTAAAAGGAACAGCTTACAGTTTAAGCACAAGTCTGAAATACCTGCACATAAGAGAACCTCCTGTTCAAAGCCAAGAAGGGTTGATAATAAATTTTCCAACCTGACAATTCATTCCCAATTGGATAGCTTTCAGCAATAAGACAATTCTTCCATGTATAGTACAGAACTTTATAAGGACTTTGGGATGCTTCTAGATAGCGATGTATTCTAAAAATGTACCTTTTTTGAATAGTTGTCTATTCAAAAAGGTTTTTGCTCCCCTAAAATGATGGTTAAAGAAATGCTGTAGGCACCCAGCCTTTCTGCCTCCTGCATGATTCCAGGTTTACTGGACATGAAAAAAATATTCTCTCTCTGATAAGATCATCAGCCTGTGCTGCTTTCCTAAGTTTGCCACCTGAATATCGGTAAGTGAAGAATTTTGCTGAAGCAAACACCTTTCACAAGGTGTGTCTGAGGCTTCCATGCTGAGCCGATGATGCAACAAAACAAAGGTAGCACAATCCTGCGGTCCTTCTGGGGCTTAAAGCCTTGCATGTGGTCACTCATGCTTTACACTCAAAGTATAATTTAAGCACAACAGAAACATACAAAAATAAGAAGATATAGTGGAAGCATGTGTCTAACCTGTGGCCTCACCTGCCGAAGCAGTTCTTGATGCTTCAGTCGCAGCCTCTCTTTCTCCATTTGCAACTGTTGCAATCTCATCTGTTGCTGCTGATTGGAGTTGCCACTGCCCATCACACCTCCTTGAGGACTCTGAGGAGCTAATGAAGGTGGCTGCTTCACTGGAGCGCTTTGGGTGATTCGTGCATTCATAGCTAAGGAGTCAAAACAATATGTATTTTAAAACTATAATTCAAATATGTCTGCAGAAGAAAAAGAAATGTCCTTAACGTGATTTATATGAAAACTCATAATCCCCTACAAACCACAGCTGTACAAACCATACATCTATATTGATTCTCACAGGATGTACAACCAAAATAACTGTTTGTCACTGTTGAGATTTCACTGTAATAGTCCAGATTTCTGAAGAGCGTGAACCAAAATGGCATGCAAATGTTTGAAAGTCTGGATCTCTATTTAGAGGTAGTGCAAACATGCAAGTAAAATAATAAAATGGTTGCAGTCAAAATATGTTAAAATAAAAGTGATCATTCACATGATCTAACTTCCTTAATAGTAATTTTTTTCAAAGCATCAGACAAGTCATGTATATTTATCTAGATCCAACAGTTCAATATTGATATTAGAGAGCACTAAATGTTTAAACAATGGAACATACATAGTGGATCACCTAATTTTAAATCCTGTTATTTTAGTAACATCCCCTAAAGCATATTCTCCAGTTTTAAATAATCCTAATAAGTTGGAGCTTCTACTACTTGGCCTTGGGAAACTAATACATCTCATTGTTACATAAGCATTTTTCCTTAAAATATTTTTTTTCTTTTCATTTCATCCAGTACCCTTTCATTATACCCTCCTGTACATTTAAAGCATGTAGGACCTCTGGTTAAGAAGCCATCATTTGACCTGGGATGACAGGCTGTTTCAGCACAAAAGAAAAACTGATAGCTCGTTTAGACAGGGTGAATTTTATATCATATAGAAGAACATCTAGAATACTGTTAGGTATTTTCTAAGAGGATAAGTTAGTAACAAACCTCATATCTGACTTAATTTCCACTATAAAGGATTCTTGCGACTTCTCTTTAAGAAGCCTTAACACTGCTGCTGTTTGCTATGGGCCTTTCATCCTCAGCAGGAAGGTAACAGGCCTCACGTTACAGAAGTACCTTTTCTTTGTTCCATGACGTTCTACTAAGATTTAACTACTTTTTATAATTCTTTACTACTGTAGTTTCTTTACTTCCATGATGACCCCCATGACACCCTCCTAAGCAGGAGAACCACATGGGGAAGAAACCCCTCATCCTCTGAGATGGCAGAGGGAGAAAACTATACCAGACTCTCAAAACTTACTCTACATTCAGCACAAGGCATCAGTAGTCCATAACTTCTCATTTTGGAAAAACAGCCTGTTTTTGTTAACTGCAATGGTGGAACTCATTCTTGCATTGTAGAAGGTTTAGGATTTTGCTCTTTAAAGAGCTGGAGGAAATTATGCATAGAGTGGGGAAAAAGAAATGAAAATCTCTCTCAAAAGAGCATTACTTAGCCTGTATCCTCGTGATGAAGGGTGCAGGGAGAGTTCTGGTTTTCCATGATAAAAAACCCATAATCAAATACCAAAATGTATAGGTATTTAGAATTTATTTTATTATAATGATTGAGGCAGTGGTAGACTTCCAAGTTACTTTAAAATCATAAATATATCAGTAAAACATTGTGTTCAACTGATTCGTATGTACTAGAGGAATTCCATTTTAATGGCAGAAAAATGTGGACTTTGAGGGAAGAATTTGTGATTTTTAAATCAGAGAGTTTGCCATTTTTAAACAGAGGAAACCAGGATCCCTGCTTATGATATAGTGTTTGATTATATGATCATCTACTACTAATTTCCCATCTAGGTTTCATGCCTCTTTCAGTTCAAAGGTTGAAAGGAGAAGCAAACCAAAGTTAAGGGTGCACAGACAGCAAACCATAAACCTGGCATTGCTCAGCTGTTAAGTACTTGGGTTATTTAGGGTGCAAAACTTTCTAGTAATTTTTCTAAAATTGTTCCAGTAATTATAGCCAATTGCAGAAGTTGATATTAATCTGTGAATTTCATCAATGTGCAAGTCATTCCATCATTGAGATAAAAAAAAGTGTGTTAAATGAGATCACGTTTATATATTTATATCTTTGTGGTACTACTTTAGAACATTTCAGACATACTAATATAAATTTTTCCATAGCTTTTCATTCATCTCTTAAATAAATGTGGCAATCTTTGTAGCTGTGGATTATTTTGGGGAATCAAAAATATCATGGTATCCTATTAAAACACAAAATTTATACCATTCACCTTTAAAAAGTGACTGGATTTCATATTAATAGTATTCCTAAAAAATATCAAAGTACTGGAAAGTGCTGATTATCTTAAATAGAAATGTCAACGAAACTCATTAACTTCCATGAATTTATATAATACAAACTGTTTTTTCAATCAGTCTCATCTAGAAACCAGCATCTTTCACTATAACATTTGGTTTTGATTTAATTGCATTGTTAGAATAATTTGGGGAAATGATTAAAAACCTAGACACTAATTATATGTATAATTAAAAAAGTAACTATATTCTGTTTTCAAATTCAGCACTGTTAAAATAAAAGTATTCTAAATGAATTTAAAGCAAAGCCTAAGCTATTAAAGTACTGAACCAGCAGAATCACAACTACTGTTACGTATTTAATTCAGCCATGCTCTACTGTCACAGAAATGAAATACACTTAAAGAGCGAGCAGAAACTGGGTCAGTATCCATTCTTTTTAAACAGTTACCAGGTTGCTTGTCTATAGGCTAAATCTTTGTTAGAAGATAGAAATAGCAAGGAAGTATACCAGTATTGTTATATAACTTTACAAGTCCTTAATAAAAAATATTGTTTGACATGTTGTTTTGTATTTAAATTGGGTCGTGCTGTTAACAAGCATTAAATATTTTTAAACAGTGCTAATGGCTTTTCAAACAGCTACTTAAAATGTGTTGAAGCTAACCTAAACGTTTGCCCTACTGAAACTCTGGATTAAAATTTGTAACAAACTAACATGATATTTAAAAACTTCAATTGTGGATGGATAACTACTAAAAGGAGAAAACAAAACACTGAAAAGATAGCTGCTGGCTCTCTACAAACACTTCATGGTCAGGCTACAATTGGGGTGCACAACACAGCCTGCACGCTGCACACACCAATCACAGTTCTTTGTTAAAATATTTTACTACGTGAAAAAGATTTGAAAATTAAAATACTGACTCCTTGGTCCTCACTTTAGGGCTATCCGTTAACCTGCATATGCATGCCTACACTATCCCTGCTTGCAAAGCATGTTGAGAGCTTGCATCTGATGAGAGAAGATCATACTAATGGTCGTCCTCCACTGGGAAACTGTCTTACACCTCAATCCAATTGGGAGTTGGGCACTCCCAGTTAAGACATCCATGAAGCATGAAGCTCCAACTCTATGATGCACTGACATGCTGCTAGGGAAAACTGATGCTCTTCAACTTCACTCTCATGACTTCTTCTATTGACCTCAAAGGGCGCATCCAGATGAGGGCACACGTATGTCTTGCGGCATCTTAAACCAAACGACACTGCCTGTGCTTCCTGATGCGGCGCTGACCCAGCTCAGCGTGGCGCTGCGTGGGGCTGTGCAGCTCCAGGCAGTACCAGGGCCGCTTGGGCTGCCACCCAGGGGCCGGCATCGCTCGTAGAGACCATGTGCTGTGCTGCGCCGGGTCCTGCCTCTGTGGAACCAGCTCAACCCAATGGCATGAGGGCCCTGTGAAGGCACGACCCAGCCTGGCACAACACATTGTCCCTGCTAGCAGCACTGCCCCCCAGGTGACAGCTTGGGCAGCCCTGATGCTGCTTGAAGCTGCATGGCCCCACACAGTGCCACGCTGAGCCGGACCGGTCCCACGACAGGCGGTGCCAGCTCTGAGGCTATCAGGCTGGGCTGCGTTCGTGGGAGCTCTGGCCACAGCAGGTCCTGAGCGCCCCACAGCTGCTGCCATGGCGGGGGGGGGCACTGTGGGCCCTGCAGGGGACTCGCACTCCCCAACCAGCCTCCCTACCCCCACACGTGCTAGGGCCGCTGGGGGCACCATAAAGACGCTCTGGCTGTATGCCAGAGCGTCTCTGGAGGTCCAAGCCCCTGTTTGTCCCACCACTGTTTTCTGTGGTGTTTTTATTTGATACCTGGAAATCCAGGTATCAGATTTTGAGCCCATGCCCCTCACAGACTGACGTGCTGGTGGGGCAGCACCTGCACATACGCTCAGCCCCTGCAGCCTCAGATCAACTGTCCGAGCCTCTGTGATTGACCAGTCAATCGACTGGTGGGTGACCACTGGTCTAGTCACTTGCTTGCCAGTTCAATCTATACAGATTAGACTAACCTGCCAAGATGAAATCAATTCTGGTTTGGGTTTTCCAAATGTCTGTACTAAGCCCTAAAGATAGGTTTTTACAAAAGCCCCTATCTGACCTGGTAACATAAACCTCAGCACTTTCACAGTGGGAGTACAGCTTCTCCGAGATATTTCAGCATATCTGAAGAAAGTTTGGGCTACAAAAATAGTGTGGACTATTTTATCATTAGTTTTGGATTTAAGTTCTTGTTCTTTTCAGAGTAAGGGTTTTAATCCTGGACAATTCATTTCAGAGCAGACAGGCATTTTAAGGGAGAAATTTCTTAGAATAAAACTTTGTAAGATCTGAAGTATGTTAACAATTAGAATTTAAAGAACAATTAAAACAAGTCACTTTACCAGTTAAGTCTACAAAACAGGAAGTAAGGAACTAGCATCATATAAACAAAACTTTTTGATATTTTAATTTTTTAAAGTATTTTTTAAGGTTTATTTTATAGCCTGGATGACTGTGAATATCAGAAGGGAGAAGAAAGCCTTTAAATGCTAAGAATGAATGTAAGTGCATCATTTTTAATTTTCAGTTAAAAAAAAAACACAGCATTTCAAAACATAATATTTAATACTGGGAGACAAAACAACTTGGTTCAAACAAAATGACAAGGAAAATTAAGATCGTTTATAAAAACTTTAAACCCCTTAATTCTGGTTAATCACATACCTAAAGTATCACCCTGGGGCAATCTTTTGTTTTTGCTATAAACTAAG